AAATCAAAATACATACACAATAATACGGTTTTTATCGACTGTTATTGTCTGACATTTTGCATGTAATTCAATTTTACATGTGGACTCTGTAGCATCTTTAACTATCCCAACATAACCTAAAAAATGAAACCAACAACGGAATTTTTCTTTAAAAGTACAACTCGCATCTCAGCTACCAACCTTTATAGGGCCCTTGTTTAATTCTAACAGTCTTTCCAATGAGTTGTGTGTCTCGCCTAACATTAATTGATGAACTAAATGGTCTTCCAGATGGTGTACGATTGCCATGTGTTGCTGATGCTCCACCAGTTGTACCGTGCGTACTACCAATTGCATCATGAACACTTGTTCCGGCACTACCGTTATGCGGAGATGGACTATTGGCGATTCTGGGCGACGTATAGCCAGATGGCATTGCAGGAATTGATGATACCTGGCAAAGTACAAAAGACAGTAAACAAGAGGAAAACAGTAACCGGTACCAGCAGGCATCTAGATTAGTGCAAAATACCGCCTTTTCCTCGTCATATGAAGACAAAACGTAACTTACTTTAGCTCCACCAGCTAACGACAGGTTTTTTGCTTTACACACAAACAGACCGCCATTTTCTGATAATGTTTGAGAAAATACAAATACAAAGTGGCGAAATATATGCTTAATTTGACCCTGACGATTCTAAACACAAACACATTATTTGCAAACTACCTTTTTGTTACTGAGAATCGCTCTACATACAGAATTTGGTCCATCGGTAACGTTTACAATATCTCCCGCATTTAAATTATTGTTTAAACTATCCAATGCAGTTGCATTTTTATTAAATCGACGTTTTGTCACCGATTGTATTGATACAATTTGAACTTTACCGTCCATATTTAATACATGTAAACGTTCTTTTTCAACCCGAATAACAATACCAACTTTGTCAGAACTAAATACACGCGCGTAGATACATAAAATTAGTCAAAAACACAAAATCCAATGATACTCACCTTAAATTGACTAAATCACGTAACTGAAATTGACCAGTTGAATCGACGCCAGATGATGTTTCCTTACAAATCTGTAAATCTGAGCAACGAACATGCATCTATAATAAACAGATCGTTTCGCTGACGTACTTCTGAGTGAACAGAGGGAAAAAAATAGCCATAGTATCAGAATTCGTTTTTCTAACGGTAACTCTAGTAAATGGCATGACAGTGAACGGTCGACTAGTAGAGATATTCTTACTTCGTCTTTTGTTCCATCTGATAGAACAATTGCTTTTAATCCTTCAATGCCAACAATCATTCCCGTATCACCTTCAAATCGTCCACGCAATACTTTGACATGATTACCAACAGAAAAATATTTACGTAATTCATTGGCTTTAAATGGAATTTCATCCTAAAATGAATAATAATAAATAAAAATATACATAAAAGGATGTGAACAGTGACCTATCTAGCCAAATTGGATAGATTGGATAGACCGGACTTTTTGAGTTTATTATGTAGAAAATGAATATAGACAATAGAATAAAAATAGAATTTCAGACAATAGGCCTCGTGGAATATTTATCTGGTCCTTTGGTAAGAAAAATCTAAATCACCGTATGTGAGAATATATATTTTCTTTACTTTTAGCGCTTCATGTTTTGGTAATATTCGAATTTGATCACCATCAACGCCAATAACTGTTCCTTGTAAATTAATTAATTCACCTTCACTAACTTCGACAACATCACCCGGAGCAAACGATTGTAAATCACTGAATGATGATTTATTTTTACTAACAATAACTAAAAAAAACATGAAAAATAAGCATTTTCATTTTCAACGTATAAATGTTGGTCACACAATATCTACCATTACTATCTGGACCATCGATAGATTCTTCAAATTTTTCTAATTCAGATATTGTAGGTGTAATACCATCTGCTTGCTAAAGAAAAAGATAAACATTTATTCAATCAAACATTACTCCTTTATTAAAAATAAGAAATATATACCACAGCATGTAAGGGAAAGGTCTTAATTAAAAATCCTTTTTCATTAAATTTTCCACCTTCAAACACACGATATCGATATTCACCGAATGGTTTAACCATACCACCAAGTTGTCTAAACGATAAAAAGAAGAGTGTATTTTTGATTTGATTATATATCAATATTTGTATCGATAAGAAATAATTCTCTAGTTTAAAAAATGAAGATAAAGACAGCAAATTTCTCTTACTTAACGGCATCTTCATCAAACAATTTCGCTGCTGATCGTTTAAATGCAAAACGATTTTTCTTTCTCATATTTGCATTTGTCTGTTCATCATCGGTTCTTGCTACACCACGTTTTTTTGTATAATCAATACGTGGTATCAATTTAACCGTAACATTATTTTGTACCATATCACATTGTTCAACTTTTGCCAAATCATCACGATAAATACCACGTTTAATTCGTACCCATAAACCAGTTTTAATACCATAACTAATTTTGACTACTCTCAATATATCGGGCATACCACGAATAGGTACCATTTGTAAATTATTCATATGTAACGATTTAATATCGTCACACGCCTGTTTAACATGATTTGATTTAAATCCTTCAACATACACATAACCACGATCACCTTCTTTGACTACAACACTTTTGATTTGAAGTGCCTAAAGTTTAGAACATACTATTTTTATAATCAATAAAAAAACAAATGTGTGTTTACATTTTCTTTTGATTCTAATGCAAGAAATTTTCTCATTAATAATAATGCTGTTAGTTTTTCTTCACCAATACGACATTTCACTGGCCATAAATTAGGTGATCTGTAAATAATAACAAAATGAACGCTTATTTTTTTTGTATAGAAAAATGTGAGTGAATATTATACACTCTCTCTCTACATACTTCACATCGGGTAGTAAACTTTGTTGCGTTATTTCATCTGGTATATCTTCCCCTTCATCCATTTCATCATAATCAGATATTCGATTTTTTTTACCATATTTATTCGTTATATATTCATTTATTTTTTCAACATCATCTTCACTGAAATAAAATAAGAGAAACAAGCTTAGAAAAAATCAATCTTATTTTCATCTCTTTTAGCTTACTCATCAAAAAGTGACGTTGTTGTTCTTGCCGTTCTATAAAGATCTCGCGCTGTATCGCCAATTTCATGTTGTTCATGAACAAATGTATCTTCCAAATCATCTTCGGCAGGTTCGTCCTCATCTTCGTCCTCGTCAACATCTAAACGAAGTTATTGTTAATTACCCAAATAGCTGACATAGAAAAAAACAATACACAGTCCATACCTGCTTCGGATATAATAAAATTCTTGCCAGATATTACCTGTCGTTTTCGTTTTGAACCCCTTTTAACTACAAATACAATGAAATTGTTTATAGATTCAGATATGAAAATCAAAGTTATTTTTTCAAAAATTTAGGAAAACTAAGCAACGAATACGAAGCCTACAAAAGCATTTATACAACAATAAATTCGATCTACGAACCGTTCCGTTCTTCTTCTTCATCCAGTTCATCGTCTTCTTCGTCTAAATTAAAATCACATTCAATATTTTATCGGAAATTTCTACTTCAATGGTGAGTTACACAAAAGAACTATTTTCATTAGCGCAATATTTTGTTGCTGTTTACCTTCATCATCGTCATCTGCTTCATCATTTTCATTTGATGGGTCATTATCATGTTCAACTCGCTAAAATATCACGAACATCAGTGTATACAAATAGGTTGTATAACGATGGGTGTAACTAAAAGTTTATGAGAGTCAAGAGAATTTAATAAATTAAAAACTTACTTTTCGTTTGACTTTTTCTTTGGATGCTGTTTGTTCAGTATTATCTTCCTCCTCTTCTTCATGGTCATCTATTCTCTTGTTAAAATGAACGAATATTATAGACAGATGCTGACGATTTATTACAGACGTAAAACAGCACTTACATCTTCGTTATCACTCATTTTTCGGTGGTTATTAAAGTTATTAATCTGGAAAAAAAATCAGCACGCATGAAAATATGCGTAGCTCAAGATACAAATCTTGTTTTTAGTGGTGATCATTCCCCATCGTGTTCTTCCTTTATTGTTTCTTCAACGTTGTGCTCGATTAAGCGATTTTAATGAAGTGTTTACAGACGCTAGTAGCACTGTTTTAAATGACTGGTAGGCGAAGCGAGAGCAAAGTGGAGTCCCATTTTGAAAAATAAATCTCCCACCTACTACTCCCTCCGAGAGAAAAAATTCCACTTTGTTTAGAAAATAACAAAAAATTTCCTCTCAATACTCTCACTAAAAGAGAGTAAGGGTAGTTGGTTGCAATTATAAAAGTGAAAATGCGAAAACTGCTGCTCAGGTATGATAAAAAAGGTTTCCTAAAAAAATTTGTTCTGACTTTATCCACTTTGTGTTTCAGAACGGTCCCGTTCTAGAAAAAGTTCTAAATAAAAACCTTTGCACGATTTACTGAGGCAACAAGTGACAGAAGAATGAGATGCGTGATATATACAGAAAATAGGAAAATGTTACTAACCTTCTCTCACCGGTTTTATGAAGTAAATGAAACAATTTGAAATGAAATGTTTTTATAGGACCCATAGGTTCGGTTGAAGCACATTTTTTAGAAGTGAAAAAGAAAAAATTGTTATTGGTTAAAATAGTCCAATTAAACTTTACTACTGTCACTGTCTTGATAGTAGCAGCAGCATGACTGGTTGTTTTCCGCTAGCTGTCAAAGACAGCCGTGAGGAGTTACTTTCTACGTCTTTTCATGTAGAAAGTGGCTACTGACGACTATCTTTGACAGCTAGTGGAAAACAACCAGCATGAATCTGTTGTCAGAACATAGAACAATAACAGATAAAGACAAACACACTGTTTTACCGAGGGTTTTTCGTTGGCGAAAGAATGAGCAACTGCTGTAATGCTCCCGTCCAGTAGAGCCCCGATAAGTGTCCCATAATTCTTCGTCTGACAATCGTAATTGTCAATTTATTTTCAGCTGGAAAGGCGCTGATAGTCGCGATAGTCAGAAGAAAAATTACCTTATACTTATTTGAATCCTCAGATAGTAATCTATGCATGTTTTAGCATGCATAGCTGTAAGTCGGCCTCACACATGCCATATCGTTGACAATTTAAATGATTAACACTTAATGGACGGGAAACATATTTCTACGTGTTTTTTCACACGGACGTATAAAATATACTCGTCCATTAAGTGTTGATCCATTTCATTTTGGCTGATACATAAAACCATCTGCTGCTCACTGTTTTCTCCTTGATTTTCAATACAATAGTAATAATATATCTTTTCCTAATCTCCCGAATTGTTTCAAAACTCCCAGTACAAAAATCCAGTCTTCATTCATACACAAATAATTTTTTTATTCCAAACAGCGTTTTTAGCATTTATTGAAAATGAAACCTATCTGTAATTTACCTTTCT